TCCGGTAGAGCCGCGCCTTCCATGTCTGTTGTCCATTATCCGTCAACCTTTTCCGCCTCTCCTCAACTTCAGTATCAGTCCAAGTCTACGCCGCCTGTCGCTCGATAGCCTAGAGCTATTACCATTGGCGTCGGGGGCGGAATGCGAGAAGCATTGTCAGCCTCGTCGCTGGCGGACAGGGCGCTGCCTGCTCCGCTGTCCGACTCGACTGCGACATACCCTCGACCCAAGGGCTGGCAATCGAGTACAAGAACCTTCTCATTGTCTCGCGGTATAGTCTCCTTCCCATTGTATGCCTCTGCATATCCCTGTTGTGCCTCCACCTTGTATACTCGGTTTCGTCGTACGGTCGGGGCGCTCGCGGCAGCGGCTTGAGGCGTATACGATCGTAGGTCAGGAGGACGACGGCGGTGTCTTGAGGGAGGGCGGTAGCTACATTGCGCTGTAGAAGCGCTCGTCGAAAGGCGTCGCCGTAATGAGGGCGTCGGGGTAAAGTATGTACTTCACCCTCGTCGATGCATACCCCACTTCGGATATCCTACACCAAAAGGTTAGCTCGCCTCCCTCTCAATAGTAGCAGGCAGTCCTCCCAGCCTCGCTGAGTCCCGCCGTCACCGTCACTACGCGTAAAGCGCTCAACAATAGCGAAGCCAGACCGTCGCCAAACGCAGTCTTGGCACCCCCAAATCGCCCACATAAAAGCTCGAAAACCAGCTTCCCCAACACCCCAAACCAGCACCAACAAGCCCATCACCATCATCACAACAAGCTCAATTACTACCACCACCACCACTACTACTACTACCACAAACCCACCTTCCCTCCCTCCTCACCCCCGCATCTCCATCAACACAAAGATGGAAAACTTCACCATCAACCTCTCCAACCTCCACGTCCCCTCCCTCGCGGAGTTCCCGCATCTGCCGCCCGCCGACGACTCCCCGGCGCAGAAGCGCCTCTACTGGTTCTTCCGCGGCCTCGAGTCGATGCTCGAGCGGCACCTGTGGCGCATGGAGCCGTGGCTGGATTTCCTCAAGACAACGGGGCTGCACGAGGATGAGGAGGCGGAGTTTGATGAGCTTTGGCGCCAGAAATGCGTGCTGGAGGATGCGGTTAACTGGGCGGGCAGGCTGTATGGTGGGGAGGGGTATGAGGGGGCGGTTTGATGTTGTAAGTTTTATTGTTGGATGGTTGAAATTGGTGCGGTTTTGCTAATTTGGTTTCACAGATTTGGGGATTTTGGGCGGGATTGGTGGGTCCGCGGGCGTGAGAGGGGGAGAGGCGTTTAGGAATGTGTTTTGATACCCAGGTTTTGTTTTTTTGGTGGGCGTTTGGGATGGTGGTGGGATTGAGGATGGGGGGTTTGTAGATGCGGCAGCTATGATGAGCGTAGGTCCGCGAATGAACTTGATTACTCTTGCATTCTGGCTTGTCATTGATGGCGTGTGCCGAGGATGTATTCAACGTTTTTGTGTTGGACTATTCCTCAATCTCTGCCTCTACGTAGTCATCATGTACCATTGACATACTTGAGAACGCTAGTTTGAGGACGCTATGTCTTCGGCGGCATACTTCATAGTCCTACGAAGATGGTCAAATCTCACACCGACTACCTCCCCGCGACACGATCCACAAACTTCCATCACATAAAAATACATCGAAGGCATACAGGTCTCACTCAACATTTCACACGACATCAGACCAATCCAGACAAACATCAATGTCAATAGCCATATACCAGGGTATCAAACTACCAAACGCCTACCTCCCTCCTCAAAAACCCAAATCTACATGCCCATGTCCAAGAAGACCCCAGCTTACTTCCTACCCTCCCCCTCCCTCTCAAACATCCACCTATCATCCTCCAAACTAGCCACCTTCTTCTTCAGACTACTCTTCAACGCAGCCCGAATCTCTTCTTCCACAGCAACAGCATCCCACTGTGCGTTGGTCTTGCCGTAGAGTTGTATCATTTCGTTTTCTTGCTCTGTGCACACGTACATGTCAGCATTTCCTATAACCATCTCATACCAACTTCACCTTGTCACGCCCAGTGTAATAGTAACGGAACCAACATACCACCCTCCTCATCCCCCTCACTCCCTACACCCATTTCCCTGTACACAGGCGCCGGGGCTTTGACAATGTATTCTCCGATATCGTCGCGCTCGACAAACTCGTCTTCGGTGGGTTGCATGAAGATATCTTGTTCTATCTCGCGGCTGTCAGGCCGGATGGAGGGTGCGGCTTGGTTCTGGCGGCGCGCGGGTTGTTGTTGCGGTTGTGCCTGTTGTTGTTGGGCGGTGTGGGCGGCGAAGATGTTGCGGCGGGTTGTTGGTGGGAGGCGAATTGCGCGGTTGTCCATGGTGGTTTGGTTGTATGGGAATATGAGGTTGAGCAGGTGTTTTGTTCGGAGAGGTGTAAGGCGGGATGTTGGGTGAGGTTGGATGTTGATGGTGTGCTGGGGTTGGTGGAATGGATGGCGCGCCGTAGCTAGTCAGGTACAAGTGTTTGGTGGGGGCGGCTGGGGTTTGGCATTGCGACACTCCCGCGGCGAAACCTGAGGCGCGTCTTCGTGACACCGACAGCAAACTCCATCATGGCGGGCCCAACACCAGCTGACGCTTCTACGGATCTTCCTGCGCAATCGCCAAGCCCACCGGCGGATACAGAAGATCGATCGCCGCCCCGGAAACGACCCAGAACTCGCGCGCCTCCGAAAGCAGCTGCTCCAGCCTCAACTCCGGCGACGAATACAGAAATGCCGACCGCTAAGAGCGCGGCTCCGGCAGCTGAGACATCAGTTCATCGCTTCTCTATACAGCCTGTCAACCGCTTCCGCGGCGCGTCGGCCAAGATCAAGCGCCCTCGCGAAGTCGCACATTTCTCATACGACGACAACCACGAGTACCAGCACGATGAGTCAGGCATCAACTACTACATACCACCGCCAATGGGCGCAGATCTGAAGGAGGGCTTCGAGACGTTTAAACACTATGAAGACAAGGAAGATCCCCATCTGGACAGTCTGCTAAGGGCACTCATGGAAGACAAGACGGGCAAGGAGGAAGTCAAAGCCGACTTCATGACCTGGCGAGGCATGATGACCAAGGTATGTTGAAGCAGGCCGGTACAAGACATAGCAAGGTAAGCGAAACCAGCTTTCTTACCTTGCTACCGCTTTTCCTCCAGATCAATTCCTAACACCCCGCCAGATCATGACCGCCCCCTTCGACAACTTCGCCGAATTCAGCATGTTCGCAACCCTCCACAACAACACTATCTACATCGAAGAAGACTTCCCCTCCCGAGCCGCCGACCGCGCAGCAGAAAGCACGCGCCCACCTCCCCGCTACCAACACCCTGACCAGCAATCGCGCGAAATGATGACATACTGGGGCTACAAGTTCGAGAAACTCGCTCTCATATCTACCTTACCTCAAGACACGCCACGGCAAGAGATTGAGCGGTCCCAGAAAAGCGTCGTATCGAACCACGCACAACACTGCTCCATCGTCCACACATCCTTTGGGCCCCATAGCCTGATCCTTGGCGGCGAAGTCGACGGCCTCCTCGCGCCCAAACCCACGAACCCGGAGGAGCAGGTGCAATGGGTCGAACTCAAAACAAGCGAAGAACTTCCTCCCCCTCGCCAACAACAACACCGCGACATCCTCAAATTCGAACGCAAGCTCCTCAAATTCTGGGCCCAGTCGTTCTTGCTCGGCGTACCTAAAATCACCGTGGGCTTTCGGAGTAAAGCTGGTATTCTAAGGAGTCTACAGACGTTCAACACGCATGAGATACCGGGTATGGTGCGTCAGGGCACGAACTGCTGGGATGGGAATGTGTGTATTAATTTCGCGACGGAGTTTCTGGGATGGCTGAAGGGGGTTGTGGTGGGCGAGGGGGTGTGGAGTGTTGTGCTGAGGAAGAAGAGTGGGGTTGTGGAAGTGAGGAGGGTGGGTGATGGGACGGGGGATATTGTTAGTAAGGAGTTCAAAGTGTTCAAGGATAAGGGGCCTGAAGTTGGGCAGGACGGTGGAGAGGAAGGCGAGGCGCAAAAGGATGGAGATATTATCGAGCATGTTGTGACATCATGAGTGGGTTTCTCGGCTATGGCTCCAAGAGGGAGTTCATGGGTAATGTAAAGTCCAATCTGAAGGGCGAAGTTGCTCATCCCGTCACGTGCGACCACGAAACCATGGTTGGTATGAGGTATCCAATTCTGTTCCACCAACGTGATCCTGAATTTCGCGTTCATTCTTATTCTTCTTACACATAACCAACCTGCATCGATCCCCAATACACGACAGTACCCAGATATCCTGGAAATACATCCAAAAATATCCACCACCAGACAACTACATCGCCCCCAGTCTAAACATCCCATCCTAAATACCGTCCACGTATTCCCCAAATCTCAAAACAGTACGTCCCGTTTATACCCGTAATCCCTATACCAATAGCTAAATCACCAGGATCATCCACAATGCCACCCACCCTCCCCACCTCCTTACGGCGTACCCGTATCCGTACCCGTCGCTTCATCCCCACCCCCTGCATCCACCCCGAAGCCCGCCTACTCAACCAGGACATCTTACAAGAGATGGCACAGCGGGACAACAGGGAAGCCATCAAACAAATCCCCCACCAGCAACCCCAGCAAACCCATCCGGACAAACAGCTTGGGAAAATCGCCGAACTGCTCGAACGGTGGGACAGCGCGGTGGAGACGCAGAAGGAGTTTATGAGGTGGATTAACGGTGTTGAGAACGAGAGGGAGGGGGAAGAGGCTAGACGGGTGTGTGATGAGGTCGCGAGTGAATGGGAGGATTTGGGCGAGGTTTATGGGGGAGAAGGGGGTTGGTATATTTTTGCTGAGAGGGAGGGTGGGGTGTTGGTGAGGTGGGTATTGAAGAGGAGGGGGGTGGTGTAGTCGTTGGTTAGCTGGAGGGGAGGGAGGGGAGGGATGGTACTGTTGTATACTCATTCTCCTTCTACTTCCAAGGTCCTTCGCCCTCCAGCTCATCGATGAACACCTCATCCTCTACAAGCCCTCCTTCTACCCATTGCGCTGCTAAACGCCCTGTCTCTTCTCCTACTCTTCGCGTCCTACTAGCCGGTACGACATTCATCCCATGATTCGCATCAGTCACAACGACAAGCTGCGATTTCGCGGTCAGCTTATCCCTCGTTTCATTCAGCGTATCGATTGGACACATGGCGTCTTCGTCGCCGCTGATGAAGAGTATGCGCACGCTCTTTGGTAGATCCAGGAGAATTTGGTCGCGCAGTTCATCTTTAGGGCCGAGGAGTGGGTAAGAAACGAGTATGAGCTGTATGCTCAGTTCCTCTCTTTCCTTGTCGTCCAGCGAGGCGAGATGTTCGGTAGCAGCGATGACAGCGGCGCGCGCCCCCATGCTTCGTCCGCCTAGCAACAATATCTTCTTGCCAGCACTGCCATCTTTTGCTCCCTTTTGTGCAGTCGATTGACTGGAGTTCAGCTCATCAATACATGCGTGGAAGCCCTTGGTCCGCGCTTTGAGGTTCATCGAGCCTTGGAAAGCGAGGACCGGGAGAGAAGAGGAGTATCCGGTGCAGAAGTTGACTACGGCGTCGGCGGAGAGTGTGCCGCCTGCGCCGTGGGTGAAAATCAGCATTGGTGGTGGGGTGGATAGCGATGATGTAGGAGTGTATTGGTGGCATTCGATTGGTTTCTTGACGAGGTCGTGCGTGATGGTGAGGGTTGTACGATTCTGGGGTGCTGAGTCGCTTTCTTGATCGGGCTGGGCGTCTGCCTCTGGTTTCGCATCATTTGGTGAACGCTTCATAGGCTTGGGCGCGCGCGTTCCTTTCGACGCGGTTAATTCCGCCTCTGGCGAGTCGATTGGTGAGTCTGATAATTCTTTCGCATCTCTTGTGTTTGTCCTAGCAGATGAGCGCGTGACACGCCTCTTGGGATCGGGTGTCGACGCCGAATCAGAGGTCTTTTGGCGTTTTGGTGGCATGTTTGCGATGGCTTGGATTTGCGCACTTGTTCGATTGCGACGGTCCTGATATCGCTCTCAAGTTAGGCCTATTGGCGCCGATCACAAGAAAGGTAGAGCGAGGTTTGTTTGATGAGGACAATCGTGTCTGCCTCAGGGCGTCGTTCGGGCGTTGGAAGTCGCGGTGACGTAAGCGACGTTCAGCCTCCCAGCCACTTCCCAACCCCTGCACTACCTCACGTAAATGTCCACATGGGGACGCAGTCTATCGATTGAAGTAACGCAACTAGATTTTGGAAAATCCCTCCATCATGTATGAGATATCGCCCTTCTCCCGGCTATGCCCATCATCTGCCATGCCTGGCCCGTGTGGATGTCGCTAATGGCTTCTCCCCATTGGCTCCGTGACGCAGATCTTTGTACCAGTGTTCCTTCACTTTTCGTTCGGCCCTGTTTGGAAACTCTTCCATGATCCGACTCCATGAAGCCCCGTCGTTCCTCATTCTTTTTAGACACCTATCCTCCTCGGATGTCCACCACGGTTCTATCTCCATCTCAGGTGCTCTACGCCCGACATCTGATGGGCTGTCATTGTCATTCTCTTCTTCTGTATCGTCGACGTCCCCGTGTGCAGCCTCGTCTTCTTCCTCGGCATTGTCATCACCTTCGGAATGGCTTGCTGATACTACTAGGTTTCTCCAGGGCGACTCGCTCTGGAGAGCGTTATAATGTCCTATTGCGTCGGTAAAATGTGTCGGCACGTCAGATTCGAGTATATCAGAGTAGTCGATTATGTCATTCGTGACAGAACGACCTTTCATCCGCGACACCTTGTCATGTGTGCTTGTATGAGCCTCGGGCGCCGAGCTTGCCTCTTTGCTGCCTACTTGATCCACCTCTTCTCTACCTCGTTTCTTCGAAAGCCTAGCCTCAAGTTCCCTAAGAGTCGCTGGCAGCCTTATCGCTGCAGCTCTCGTTAGAACCTTGATGTCCTCGATTATATCGCTCAGCGGAATCATGTAAACGTCCCCGAAGATGTCATCAGCCACTACCTGGCCGTAAACCGATATGGAATCATTGGGTCCACCAGTCCGATGACCGAGACCATGAATCCAACGCGAAGTGACCCACGTACCAGATGCACCGTCTTGTATACTTTCAGAGGCATCTGTTGTGAACAGAAAATCAGCAAAGCTTTTGGTATCTTACATGCGGTATCATTACCTAGTGTGAGTATGTGTGCCGAAACGAAGTTGTGTCCCGACGGCGTCAGAATGATTGAGATATTCCGGGAAATCGTGCAATTAAGCACATGCCCTTCATCGAGATGTATCTGAGCCCACCGTAGGTATGGTAGGTCTCCTGTCGTACCGAGCACGACCGGTCTATATCTGGTTTCGGTGTAGAGCGATGCAACCTCATTCATACGAATGCGTTCGATCAGTGCCCAATCTCTGTCTCGGGCCTCACGAGAAAACGTAGCCTCCGCTAATATCATGCCCGTCCACGTTGGTTCGCCTCTGGGTCCAATGAAGCTTTCGAGAAGACTCTGGCCACGACCTTTGGCGCTATATTCTGGGATGCTGGTGAGGTCATCTTCAGATTCACTTGAATCTGGAGAGGGCATCGATCCATCCCATTGGTCGTCTGACAATGGGCTATCAATCGCTGTCTGCGGGAGTACATGGCCCGCTGTCAAGCCATAAGTAGTCTCTGTACCGTCAAAGTTGGTGACCACAATGTATCCTCCTATCGCAGCCGAAGATGAGATGCCTTCATGCTTTATGTCAGCCTTGGACGAGGACTGGAAGCTGTGCGAAGTGCTGTCGTGGTCGGCCGTTGAAAGACCTGAGGGTGTTCCCACACGGCTAGCATATCCGTCAGCCTTAGGCCGAGGCGCGTGACCGACCACCACCACCTGGAAGCTTTCACGGCCGGGTTCGTCAGATTGGCATAGACGTTGAGCCATGTCTTGCTTAAAGAACTTCTCCGCTCTCTTTCTAACAAGCTCTGGACACAGCACGACGATCCAAGGCCGAGATGAGCTCTGTTCGTGTCCCAGAAACATTAGCCGAATAGCCGTGGGTCGATGCTCATGCCGACTTCTGCGCAGATAGGTAGCCAAAGGGCCAGAAAGGCGATTCATGATGTCCTCAAACCGGCTCTGTACCTCTTCGCTTACCGTCCGTTGGAATATGTGCATACCGTGAATTGTATGAGAAGGAAGAGATCCTGCTTTTGACATAATACGAGATTGTTGAGGAGGCATCGTCGAAGCGGAGCTATTCGGGGTGGGCGCTACCGCTTGGGCTGACAGAGCACTAGGGCTTCCTGGTGGGCTTCTGTAGCCGGAATCTGTAGCAGAATCATTCTTCAGAACTTGCGATTGAGGTGGTGTGGGCCGCGGGGTCTCCATGTTGTCGGCGTGGGGATTCCAGGCGTGGAAATTTCGATATGTGGTGACAACCGGCGTGAGAATGATCTTATGAGGCGGTACGAGAAGGCCGCATACTCCGCACATCTGCGTCACAACCGGTGAGCCGGAAAGATCAATTGCGGGCTGTGTGCATGCGTATCAGCTACTCGAATGAGCGCCGCTTGATGATTGGGCGCGCTCAGGACGAGTATGCACGTTGTGGATTCAACGCCCAATGAAGCTGCAGCCACTGACCTTAGGCTATGCATCGTCCGCCACGCAGCGTGAGTACATATAAGCGCATAATACTGCCTTCGAGCAAGCATAGCTGAGTGCTTCGAGCCAAGCTCCCGTTCGTCTTTGCTTACATCATCATATGGCTGAAGGAGTCGACTTTTTCCCCTTGCAATTCACGACCGACAATGATTTGCAGGAATTGGGCCGGTGTCTGTGGGGGTGGCGGCTGTGTGGCCGTTGTACAGGAAAACCGACATGTTGCGACGCGCATTGTTCCTGGAGCCGAGCGAAGCGACAGGCTGCTTTTTGGGCTCGTTACAAAACCTTGACGGCAACATACGTACCTGAGCTATTCACTCCGCACCCAGCATTGAGGTCGCATGGCGACCTCTTGGACCTGATTCAGCTTATCCAAAGTCAGCCTCATACCGCGCGAGAACAGTTGATCCAGCACCATTTTGTGGGGCAGCGAACCAGCGATGCAGAAGTTCCTGCTATATCGGATCAACATCGCGCTGTGGATCTTGCAGCCAGCATATTGTTCTTGGTTGATTGCGGGATTACGCGCGAGCATGCTAATCTTCTGGAGGAAGGTAGCTCATCACTGCCATGGCGAGATACAGTGTCAGCGCATGACTTCCTTCTGGAAGCCTTTCCAAAAAGACCCAATTCTTCGATCGCATTCGGGAAGGACAATGTCGACTGGCCAGGCGTAGCCGCTGCTGTGAGTGCGAAGCAGCTGCGGAAGATGCTTGAAGTTGACCTAGAAGCAACAACCGATCTGCGAAGTCATCTATTACTAGATCGTGGAAGAGGTGTACTGAAGATCTTTCACTGTACGGCGATGCTGAAAGAAGCTCTGTTAGTGTCTGGAAGTCAGCCGACAGCGTGTATACTACCGCGACAGCTCATCCTAGAGGTGTTCGACACTATACACAACGTCCTGTTCCCCTCAGATCGCGAGTCGCAGGCGCTTCTGTCGTCGCTTGTTGCGAAACATGGTTTCGACGATGATCTTCTGAGATTTGAATCCTGGGATCATTATGGGCATAATGACACGATACTTTCGTACCCCTACTTCGGCAATCGACTGGCAGAGCTTTACGAGGAACTGCAAAATCCAAGACCGCGAACTCGATGGGAGAACTGGTTCGAGCGAAAGAGCGGTGCTCGATACATGCTGATGGCAACAATGATCGGAGTCTTCATCGCGGTAATCATCGGAATCCTTGGCCTCGGAATCTCGGGTTTCCAGGCTTACGTGTCGTACCAGCAGTGGAAGCATCCTGTAAAGGGTGCATGAATGGAGACGTATGTTTCGAACGTAGAACAGGCGGTGACGGGTGCGTAGAGACTTTCCCCGATGGATTTCGGTGATGGCACGATGCCGAAAGACAGAGAAGAGAAATGGGATGGTGGGGAAAAATGGGTGGCAGGGAGGAACAAGCGAGATGGCAGCCGCGCCCGCGCACGCGACGCGGCTCCTCGAGATAGCACGAACATCGTACTACTTACGACTCACGCACGACAACGACTCACATACTGCATGCATCAGGCAGCAGTGCGTACGATACTTTCGTTGGGTGACAAGTATACTGAGTAGCTTCTATCTTTTTATTCTGACTCGGGAGCCGGTCGGGACCCAATGCTATGACAGTTCCGCGAAACGACCGAGGACCATCAGATGTATAGTCATCCTCATTTTACGAATTGTCGGTCAATGACAAATGTCACAGTGTTGCCAGAAATCCGGTTTGACTGTGTTGAAACTTCCTCAATCATGCGAGGTATCACTGATCAGCTCTTGGCCATCACATCTGGGCATCACCAAAGACACGAAGCCGGTTTCCTACGGTACTCTGTAGGGCTGGGTACGGTACTTTGCGAAAAGAAACTCTTCGTATTCGTCTCCACGATGCCCGTTAAAGCAAGATGTTTCATGGCGATCTCAATAGAGCAATGCAAAGTCCCGAAGCAGCGTCGGAGTCTCCATTACTCGCCGGCTTCGTATCGCACCCTCGAGTCGCACTCCAGCTCTATGCAACCCAAACTTCCCTCTCCATAGGCGGGATAAAGACCCGACCTGTAGGAAGTCTACCCGCAAAAGTGACTCGCAGCGATGCGCCGGCACGAACAATTTACGTCTCAACTGCCATTGCCAAGCACTAGCACATAGGCGTCCAACTCCTCCCTTCCAACAACCCGCGCCATCTTCCCTCAATGTATATACATTTATCCGTCCAAAGGATCAAGATCTTGCTCGGATCTATTCCAAGCCACCCCGTCCTGCACAGCATTCTCGCACAGAATGCCTGGTTCAGTAATCCCTTTGTTAACCCACAATGGCCCTTGCTGCTCGCTTCCAAGG